TCAATATATTCAAATTATCAAAAAAGTTACCATGACCAGTGATATTATATTTTTTACTTTTCTTGATTTTTATATTTATTATTGGGAGGTTATCGTATCTGTTATATTATGACTGGTAGTGTTTTACTTCATTTCATCTCTGATGCACTTCTATGGGTTTATGATATTTCTATCAACTTCAACATCTAGAAAACCTTTTGGATTTTACGTATCAATCTAATTGAACTTGTGTCAGCTTTAGTTCAAGTTTCAGAATGATTTAACTGTTACTTTCATGTTTCAATCACATATGGAACCAAAACTCAAGGTCCAGAAGTCGGTAATCTCGATATTATCAGTTTTTGCATCACCATATTTAGATGCATTAATTTAGTTAGTTTTAATGCATTTTTCATTACCCATCAAGCCTAATCATTGAGCTTTTGCATTTTCTACCCTTGTGATTGCCATTGAGAAAGCAAACCATGGCCAACTTTTTTTTTATAGTTGAACCCAATATGATCAACATCGTGGTTTTTTATAATTGTATAAGTACTACAACATGAGGAGGTCTAAATACCTACTGCCCCAACAAGCAGCATCATCTTTAAGGCCATTGGACAATAGAAATTACAAAGGGTTTAAGTTTATGGATTGAACACATATACAATGGCTTGAAATGGAGGGAGAAAACTTAAGAGGCAACAATGTTAGGTTGTTATTTCTGCTTAATCAAATATATTTGTTCAAACTCATTCTTTGGTTTTCCAAGGTAATTAGTTAGCTATAGTTTTTTTCATATGAAATGATATACAAGAAAATGGTTTTGTATATTATGCAGAATGAGTAAAAAGATCTTTAAAGAAATATGGTACTTTCATTTAGTAAATTTCATATTTTGGTAGATGATTGTTAGGAATGAAATTCAGTGTTAAATTGTATTCGTCTTGAAATATAAAATTGTCTATAATTGTATAAAAGTCATCGTGTTTGACTTTTATTAAGATAGTTTGATTTTGACTTTTGTCTATAGGTTTGACCGTATATAAATGGTATTTGTCTTGTAATTTTGAGGGGGAACCTTATTGTAATATCCGATTTACATAATAGAGGTTTGACCAAAGCTTGAATGTTTGACTATCTCTCTCAAACTTCTCTCGTATTGTTCTTGAAGAAAATCACAGATCTGCCATGGATTCTTAAGGTGTATTGAAGATTGATTCTTAGGGACTAATAATTGGTATCAGAGCTAGTTGTGCAAGAAATTAGATGAAGAAATCATGGTTTTGAAGATTTTTTGAAGATTATTTTCTGGAATTTTGTTTTGTTCTTCGTGTTCTTATTTTTTTTAAGCTTGATCCAAAAATTTTGGAAAATTTTGTGTTTTTTGTGTTAAAACTGTGATCAATTTGTGCGGAATTTCAATGTGAATTTTTGTTATTCACAAATTTTTATGGTTTGATCACTGCTTTTTCAAAATTTAATCATTTTTTGTATTCTTGATTTTTTTTTAAATCCAATATTTTGATCTATTTTAGTTGTTTTTTTTTTGGGTTAAATGCATGAAATAGCAACCTACTTTCATAAAATTTCTTATTATAGCATTCTACTTTTGTTTTTCTTTATTACAGCAATGTACTTTCAAATTATTTTTTATTAAGACATTGTATGTTAGCTTTATTTTTAAGCTAATAATTAACTTGAAAAAGTTTCATGAAACAATCCAGAGCTAGAAGACGAATTGAAGAAGTATCTGCGCCAAAACGTCTAAGTCTAGAAGACCAGAGCCGCTTTCAAAGTCTACAGAGCTTCTGTGGTAACCAGAACCTCTGCAAGGCTCTGTGAGGACCAGAGTTCTTAGACTCTAAGTTCCTTGACCCAGAGCCCCTCTGTGAAGACCAGAGCTTCTGTGAATGCTCACAGAGCCTCTGGTGTTGCTAACAGAGCCTCTGTTCTATTTTGACAAGAGACTCTCTGGCTGTGCCGTCCTCTGTCATCTTTTAGACGACTATCTTCAGTTTGCTTATTCTGGATAAGGCTATTCTTGTTCTGGATAGCATTAATCTTATCCAGGTTTGGTAGGTTAKTGCCTATAAATAGAGTGTTTTAGATAGAGAAAATATAT